CTCTATCTATCTACATCTAACTCTCTCTCTCCCCTTCTTTCTTTTTCTCACAATTATATGAACATATTGTCTCCTAAAATCTAATGTACTTATACATAATGTTTTTTATTATCTTCTTCTCGTTCTTGTATAATTAGTAATAAATACCGACATTCAACAATGCGTGTAATCTATTTGATATGAAGCATGCTGAACATGAAATAAATTCGAAGTGATATGGGAAGATGCAGGGGTACGGTTAGAAGGAAAAAATAAATCATAAGTAGATATTTATGACAAAGAGTTTTTTTAGTACCAGAATAATGAAAAACCTTTGAATTTCTGCATCAAATTCTCCAGATAGAATGTACACCGTGCAAGAGGATAGCGCCGAGCTTCCTTTGAGAAATTCCATCCTAAACATTTAGCCATTTAATTTAAATTTGACACAAAGCGACTAGTAGGTGGGTGACATTCCACCCGAGATTAGTTTAAATAATAATAATAAATTACAATTAATTAAGGTTTTTAGTTGAGATAAAAAAGTCAATGGCACGAGCGGGATTCTAACCCACGATCTTCGGCTAGATATCCCGCTGCTCTACCACTTGAGCTACCGTGACCTCGATCCACTCGGACACCAACTTCCCATCTCAACCCCACCTTTTGAATTTTGAATTCAAAAATGGCAAAAAGGAGGGAAAATTCAAAAGGTGGGGTTGAGATGGGAAGTTAGTGTCCGAGTGGATAGAGGTCACGATAGCTCAAGTGGTAGAGCAGCGGCGTATCTAGCCGAAGATCTTGGGTTCGAATCCCGCTCGTGCCATTGACTTTTTTATCTCAACTAAAAACCTTAATTAATTGTAATATATTAATTGGTCAAGCGGACCCCGAAATTAGTGAATTTAATAATAATAAATTTATGGAAAACTGATCAGAGAATAAGATCGATTAAAAAATAATTTTTTCTCGCTTGTTATGCCATTTTTTCAGTAGTATCTAATAAAAAGTGATTAATTCTTAATGAAAGTGAGATTTTTTTATATTAAAAAAAAATCAAAAATTGCGTAGTCTCCCTTGAGAAGAATAAATATGTAACGAAAAAGCATGAGAAATAAGTTATACTAATTCGCCGCTTCAGCCTCAGTTACTATCAGTCTTCCTCCAGCAGCAACAAACCTGGAGATGGGACAAAACTCTCTTGTTAAGGATTGGATCAAAAGCGCTCACTCAGTGAAAGGAATCAGCTTTTTTCATGGCTCACTGCTCGCCGCTGCTCGGCTTACCAAATTTATCTTATGCTGAACCGGCATAGGGTCCCTTATTGGGTCCGACTTCACTCGCGGGTTTACTCAATTACATAATATAAAATTTATCTTACCTATAATTCCATGCGTAACTTTGGCGCATTTTCCGAATTTCGGTGTTTCAAAGCTCGGGTCATCGTACAAGTTGATTGTCAGAATTACGGCGTTGTTATATGAATGAAATGAAGATTGTGAAGATGATGATCCGATCCATTAAAGAGGGGTGTGTCCCATTTACAGAAGATAGGTGGGTTTGTTGCCGCTGGTGAAAGATAGTCTTTTTATATTATTGCCAATAATAAATTTTAATTTAAAAAAAAAAACGAAGAATTAAATGAAGAGGATTGAACAGTTCATTATTTCGTTCATCTAACAGCAACCTTCAAATTTTCTTACGGTTTTCTTGTGAACTTGATAATTGACACCCCATTTGCCCCTACAGCTGCCCCTACACAAAACAATACGTCATGTATAAAATGGTACATTTCGTACAGTGTAGTGATTCTTGTTACATTATTTATAGTCAGATTTATTTTTTCTACAGAACAATTCAACTTGTTTTTTCACTGCGAAGGTAAGTTACCTGTCTATAGTGTATAATGAACTATAGTTAAAAAATTTCTGTACATGTTTTTAATGGCCTTATGATTCTTATGAACTTTGCATATTAGCCAAGGAACTTGATGATATATTTATATACATGATGCGTATTTATACATATATTTTTTTTTTGGGGGGGGGGTGATTACAAAATAGGCCAGGGGCGACGGTGATCGAACCCACGACCGGGATTTTTGTTTATGACTGATGATTGTATTTACACAATCTCAATGGGTTCATCGTATTATGAAAATTAACTTCATCAATGACAGAGTTTGTTTTTGTTTCAAATATTCCGAGTCCCAATTTAACTATAAATAATTCATGTACTCTAGGGGCCCATTATATAAAAAAAATGAAGGAAAGCTCAATATGAATATATTTTGGCGGAATGCTTTTTTTCTCATGATCCCCAACATTGGGTTTCCTTACGATCGCTGTCGAACAGTATTGCTATGCACAGAATCTACTTTTGCCTTGTCATCAATCACGTAAGGAATGGCGTTTCGAAAGCAAATAACGACCTTAAATTTCTGAAAGTTGAACGAGTGTGAAAGGCAAGACGTTTATTTTTGTGAACCTCGATTTTAGTGTAAATCCTTTATCGCTCTTTTGAAAGAGAAAACTCGGTAGATTCAGTACTGGCCACTATAAAAGTCAGCAATTGTCCAGACTGAAAAATATACATAAAATAAACAATGAAACATATTTATAAGGAAAGAATTGGGGGCGTCGGTGGCTGCAACGATTTAGGCGTTGGCACGGCGCTAAACACTGTAAGGTAAAGGTCCCGGGTTCGAATCCAACGGCCCTGCATTCGAACCCGACATACTTACAAATGGGCTTTTTTCAAAAACACCGGCACCTTGAGGGTTTATATGAAAGAATAAATAGCTTTAGGACAGGCCAGATGTACTGACCGTTCGTACCGACACTATTCTAAGGATGAAAATGTAGGGTGATAATTAAGGAAATTAGTAAAATTAAAAAAGTACCTTACCTGAGTGAGCTGTATAACTTTGAAATGTCTTCTATTTTTCTTCTAAATAGAAAAAAAAAATTACTTCTATATTTATATAGAAATTTCTTCTATTTTGGAATTTATCCTATTGAATAGATTTAGCTACCTCCTGGTTGACAATATTTTCATTTTTCAAGATTTAAATAATGCATTTTGTATTTAATATATTTATTACAATCGGTAAACTTATTTCGAAAATGTAAAGAGTTGAATTTACAAATGACAAGAATCATGTATCGTGATTAAACTCGACTCAACCTCCTTTTGTAGATAGCGAGGCTATCTCCTTTTCAGTCATCTGTTAGGATGATGCGGGTGGTTTCTACTGGATATAGATTGGCCAACTCGATTGGGGTGAGAGGAAAGTTTATTGTGGAAAGTGGAAAATGTTTTGAGAATTATTTTTTGCTCGAAAGGGATTTGAGGTCATTGTGAAGAGTGTTTTTGGAGAAATAGTGAGGATCATTGATTCTGAGGATTTTGGACTGTACTATTTCAAGGATGGAATGTTTAGCGTGCTCCACAGTTCTAGTCCGAACGTCCAGATTGGTTTTAATATTGCTTGTAGATTATCAGTTTGTTTTCGTTGATACGTTAGATTTGCGTGACTAGTCTGTAAAGTAGTCCGAAACTTTGGTATATTGACTGTCCTTTTAGTCGTGTGTATTGGAGGCAGCGGACTTGGTTGGATGATGCTATTACCTTGTTCTTTATATGTGCTGGTGAGCAGGTCCGACGATTGAGCGTAAACGTATTTTTTTTTTTTTTAATCGTTCAACCTGATACGCCATCGAGTGCACCAGTCGGTATGAGGTTCAGATGTTGGATAGGTTCCGTGGCTAGGATAGTATTGGTTTGTGTATATAAGATTGTCGTGACATCCTCATAGGTTGAGATTTTGTTTATTGTGTATATGGTGTAGAAGATTGGTCCTTGGATACTTCCTTGAGGAACACCAGCTTTGAGGGATACGTTTTAACTTGTAAAGGCGGCCGAAGTTCTATGCTCGGTTGAATGCTTCGGTAACGTCCAGAATAACGGCACGTTTGTTTTCTAGAGTCGAGGACTGCTAAACAGTAGAACGGAGAGATGGAAATCCAAATTGATGGTCGGGAATTAAGTTTTTAGATTCGAATATGGGAATTAGCCTTTTCAGGAGACATTCAAAGAAATTGGATAAAACAGGAAAGAGGGTTAGTGGCATGTTTTGTTCGAACTACTTAAAACTGTACACAGAAATAAAGCCTAATTTTCATAATTTTTAAAACTTACTTTCGATCAGTTCCCTCTGCAAAGAATCTCAACATGGTGTCCTTGTAACCTTACCTTGTTTGCTACAACTTCCAAAATCTTCGAAATTCATTATATTCTCAGGGGAAAAACAGAAGAAGAATCTAGATTTAGAACGTTTTACATTTTTTAAATATTTTATTTTAACAAAGATGGTGAAAACAAATCAAGAGTTGAGAAAAGATGCTAAGGACAGCAGTTTTCATTTTTCGTGTAATATATATAATTTTTTTTTTTTACAAAATGTAATTTGTTAACATTGTCGCATAAATGTTGTACACATATCTAAAATTGAAAAGAGTGAGGACAGACAAGCGTTGCTTCATCTATAGATTAGAGAAAGGGCTTTTGCTTTTATTTTCGCACGGTGAGTCCGACGGGAAAGCCGTAAATATTTGAAGGTTTTTAGATAATGGCTTTTTTTTGTCAGAAAAATAACCAGAAAGCAATTATGAAAAAGAGAAACACCAATATATTTTCAGGTCCCTTTTTTCCCCAAGAAAGAAAGCGTTTTTGTTTTCAGATACATGAAACTAGGTTTCCCTTTTTCTTCTCAACAGTTAGAACATTGCCTGACCACACGATTTTTGCCGTTTTTTATTTGTTCGAATTTGTAAAGTACTGCCTCAGGTGTGTACCCTGTGGTTCAAGAAACGTTCAAACGCACTTTAGTATAGGCACAATAGCAAAATTTTTAAAATATTACTTTAATAAAAACAGTGTTTTCTTGTATACCATTTAAAAAACTTTTTAATACAAACTTTCCATTTAACAGTTAAAATTTTCTTTCACGACAGCGCTAGAATTTTTTTAAACTTTTTTATTATTATATTTACAATATTTATATTTTTATACTATATAATTTTTATTATATTACAAGATTGATTCCTTTACAGCTGATCAGTACTGTAAAAAGCGATTTAGAATGGACTATGTTTTTTCTTTTGTAATACACCTTCTAGCTCTAGGTAAAAGCCAGAGGGAAATCACAATGCTCGTCTGTGCTTTAAGCACTAGAAAACAATGCAAATATAGCAACCCTTTAAAAATAATTCAAGGTGGGATTTTTTATTTTTTTATATTATTATTTCGATTTGTCTATTTTCACTATGTACCACCTATGTGCTGAACCATCTTAAACTAAAGTAAAACAGAAGTGTCTTTTGACATTTCAAGCCTAAACCTCATGTGTTCCTTTTAAAAATAGTATGTACAAATGACATATTTTCCCAATAAAATCTCAACGGCAATTTATAAATGCTGTAATCACAATTACTGAGCAGCGAATATACAAAAAAGACATGAGCAGGTTTTATTTTTCTCCAAAATTTAGAAATTTTCTTTCTTAAAACAGCGATTTTTTTGGAGGGGTAAATGCGCGTACGCTCTAAGTGCAAAAATGATTTTCTCCCGTGCTCAGAAGTTTCACAACCTTTAGAAAAATCGTTTTTCGTGTTTTATTTTCCACTTTCGACAGAACAAAGAAACGTGGGAATCTTCTTCCTTCTGAGCCTAGATTAACCGCCCTTGCTTAAGCATAAAAAACAAAACGGAAAAGTCTACAAAAGAATTTGTGATTTTTTTTTCATTGCATTTTTTTTATTATATCAACAAGTTTTTTTTTCAATAAAGGGACGAAATAGCGATACGAGCTCCTCCGGTGTGCCGATGGTTGAAAGGGTTTCAGTGCGGTTTCCATGAGATGTCAGGTATGCGTTGGAAGGATCGTTTCAGACTTGAGCTATCGGCCCAGGGGGCGTTATAATACTCGTCGTCATCATCTTGTTCAAGTTTCTGAAACAGAAAATTTTTTTGTCAGTTAATAAATATCCACATTATTTACTTAATAATGTAATAAATATAAATAATATATAAGATCCCGATCAGGCGATATCCCTGAATTCAATTCATTGATGGCCATCAGTAAGCACGGAGCTTTGGACTTGTAAGTCCTTGTGATAAAATTGCGATACGGCAAGGGAGTCTGGGAGCCGAGGTACTATTTCGACAGCCGTCAAAAGATAGTCGTTGTCAAGTCGGTTGCTCTGATGATGACCACAGATTAGACATGCTGAACATCAACTGTTCAGAACATACGAGACAAGCTTATTTGTCGTTTAGTAGCGATAATTTCTGGACTTTTTAATATGTTATTGTGTTTTCATGCACATTACAAGATATTTTGATTAATTTAGCTTGCAATTTGGATATATTAGAATAAAATTAAGATTCTAAAAGCAAGTCGTAAATAATTGTATCAAGTTAAAAAAATGGTTCGAGTTGCCATTCATCGTCAATTTGAACTTCCTCCAACTTCATACAATCTGATGTCAATAAAGTCCACCTGGCGTAAAACGATTCGTTTTCATTCTGTCCTGTATCGCTTAACTGTATAGGCTTTGATGTAAATTAACAAAAACCACGTGCGGAGCTGAACCGTTGCAAAGGAAGAGCAACAGGCGTTTAGAGGCGATCCATTGAGTCCCGGATCGTGAACCATTTCTCAACTTCACCTTTTCCTATACGCGGACGTCATCAGTCTTCTACTTTATTAACGGGAGAAGAGTAAGGTGAATTCAAGTATTCAACACACCAAGTTTCTCGCTGCATTAAAACTATTTAATTCGTAAATTAATGAGCATTAAGCACACTTAGAGATCGTTAGAAGGATGTTTGAATAAGCAGAGTAATACTTGTATACAAAGAAGATAAATCTGAGGAAAAGGTATCAAAACGATGGTAATAGAAGGACAAACAAATAACAAAGATTCATTCAAAGGACCAGTCACACCTGAGGTAAGGTCATGATCAATATGGGACATAGTACTATAGAAATAGGAATAGAACTGTCTCTTGTGCATTTTTTTTTTTTTTTTTTGAGTTGGGCTGTTTCCTCCACTGCGAAATAGATGTATTGTGGAACCCCTATAAAACATAACCAAACTTTTAAGTACTCCTAGACGGTTAGGCAATAAAGGCACTAAATATTTATGGACTTTTCCTATAAGCCTAAGTACTTTTCACGTGCCACATGGCTCATCTCTTGCCTATCGAAGTGGCTGAAACAGGATTTATGCTTCACGTACACAGGATATCAACGTCTCTGGCTACTCCTGAGAGTCGGCATGTTTTTGTCTCTGCTTTGCCCATATTCTGTGCGTGGTAGTTAAGCGGGCAGTGGCCGGTATAGAGGCCTACAATTTTACTAAGATCCTTCCTGCAGAGAGGATGTAGTTTATTCGCTTTCCTTTTTGAGAGATTTATATCTCTGCTTGCCCCATACCTGGTGCTTTTGTACAGAGCTTGATTTTTCTTTCTCAAGCCATTTCCCCAGTTCCAACTAAAGCACACACTCAGGCCTCCTAGTAGTGGCACCAAGGGTGAGAGAGCTGCCCTTTTTTGGCTTCTTCATTTCTTACTATATTTTCATATCCTGTAACCCTTAAATTGTGTAACCCAAGTCTCCATGGTTCCAAGGATGCAGGGCAACTCGCGACTTCTATACCGTAATTACACGGATCAGAAGCAACCATGGCTTATGAGGTGCTCATAAATATACGATTGGCCTGAGGGAATCTGCCAATTGTGCTTCCTGTGACTGTACAGAGGACATGAACGATATAATTATGGATGCTCAGAATACGAGGACATGAGACAGAATCTCATCAGTGGCATCGAATCCTTGGTTGGAGTGGCCAGACCTTCTTCATTGGAAACATTAATTACATCTGGGAGAAGAGACATATACCATCTAATTTATTGTTTCATAAGGGAAATTTGCATTGAAGTGTTATTCAAAGGTAGACATGTAACATGGGGTGCGTTCTTCGGCTCGGGTCTCTTGTCACCTGCCTCGCTAAGTGGTGTACATATTAAAAAAAAATTGATGCATGGGTAATATAATATCATAAACCAAAAAAAAAACCTTAAACTTCATAATCTTGTGTTTTCCTAGAGCCATTAGGGAATTTCAGCACTGCCAGACAAGTTTGGAGTTGAAAGCAAACGCATTTAGTACGTCTATCGCTGCCTGACTGTCTCAGAATAAGTAAATCTATACACCTTTCATATTTTTCTTTATTAACTCCTGTGCATAGAGTTGTATTGCATGGACCTCAGCTTGAAAAATTGTTGGGATTACTCCAAGGGGCATATTTCGCTCCTTTTACCCCTACAACTTTTCCCTGCTCCATGTGCGATCCATAAGTGTACCATATTAACGCCCCTTCTTGAACCCTTGAGCTACTTTTCTTCCAAAGGTCTCTATTATGTATGACCATTTGGAAGGGTCTGCCAAAGTTGAGTTTTAGCCATTCCACTTTGTTTAATGTGTGGTGATTAGTGACCGTTAATCGATAATTATTCAGGAATCGTGAGATGCGGTCTGGTGTGATGTAGGTTTCTGATCTACGTATTTAGTGATGAAGGGTAATGTGAAAGGAAGTTGTTATTAAAGATAAATGGCCCAACATAACACCACACACAAGTCTATCGAACACGTTCATAACAATGGTCCGACACTGCTGTGTTAACGGATATTTTACAAATCAATTTTACAAACAACTATTTGGCATAGCCATGGGTAGCAACCTAGGCCCGATACTTGCAGACATAATCATGACACGTCTATTAAATACAGACATAGCGCAACTTCCTTTCACATTACCCTTCCTCACTAAATACGTAGATGATATATTGACAGCTGTTCCCTCAGATAAAATACAAACTGCATTAGATACATTTAACAGGTTTCACCCACGCCTACAATTTACCCATGAAATCGAAAACAATAAAACTATTTTTTAGATACACTCGTAATAAAACAACCAGATGGCACATTAATCACAGATTGATATCAAAAACCAAGAAACACAGATCGCTACCTCAACTTTACATCACGCCATCCTCTTCACACAATAATAAACACGGCCAAAGGGTTACTTCACAGAATGATTACCCTAAGCCATGAATCATTTCACCTCAAGAATATAAAGATATACAAACAGATCCTCCATAACAATCTCTACCCTAAACCCATAATTAACAGAATAATCAACAACTACAACTCAATACTAACACCATTCACTATTACTAATAATACTACATTAAGTCTATCAAATACAAAAACCAGCATACATTTCCATGCCATTTATTCAAGGCCTATCACATAAATTAAACACATTTCTCCCGCCCGATAACTTCAAAATAGCTTTCAAAAATTATTGTACAATTCAAACACTTTTTTCCAAAGTTAAAGATCCTACACCAATAACAAATAAATCTGACGTAATCTACAAAATCAACTGTTTAAACTGTCCGGCAACTTACATCGGTCTTACATCCCAATATCTGGACAAGAGAGTAAAGCAACATATCTATGATTGCAAAAAAAGCAAGCAACATCCTACAGCACTCACTACTCACCATTTTGAACACTAACAATTTTGACTTCAACAATCCAACAATATTACGCACAGAACAAAACAAAAATAAACGGAATTTTTTAGAAATGGTTACATCAACAGAGATAAACACAGCATCAATTACGGAACAGATACATGTAAACTCAGTCGCAGCTACGCCAAAATCATTAATCAAATTCAATACAGATAACATACATATACATCTCATCACATTCCACACATCAAACATTTGTCAAGTAGACTAATTTTTAGAAAATTTAGCTTTCCTTTTCGTATTTATCCCCTTCTATATAATCCTGAAAGAATAATTTAGCCGAACCATTACCAACGTTTTTTCCCTTCGCCGGCTCTTTTCACCTCAAAGAAGCCGATGCCTTATACAAAAATGTCTTTTCTATACCGACTTCCTACCCGACCCCTTCAAAATCCAACGTATATAAACATAAAACAGCAATATTTCAACACGACACGCAAGAATGGCACAATTACACAGAAGACAAACACTGTGAGTGAGTAGAAATACTTTGATTGAATATTTAAAAAAAATTGCATTGAATAAATTCACTTTTCTCCACATCCTACACGTATTTGTTAAATGTAAACAATGTTTGTAAATCCCAGGCCCTGAAGATGATCTTACTAAAGATCGAAACGTTGGCACGATAAAGAAAATGTTTTTCTGAAACCTACATCACAACAGACCGTATCTCAAGATTCCTGAATAATTATTTTGTTTACTACTCTCCAGAATTTTGTGGTGGCTCGTCCGTAGATCCGACTCTATTACCTTGAATCTATGAAGTACTAGGTCATTGACTGCCGTTCCATTCACTTTGTTTTGTTTCTATCCCAGGTAACGTCTCCATCGAGCAATGTTTACATTCGAAGATGATAAGTGTGGCTGTTCCTTCCTCTTCATAATGTACAAATTCACTAAATTCGTGGTCCGCTTGACCAATTAATACATTACAATTAATTAAGGTTTTTAGTTGAGATGAAAAAAAGTTAATGGCACGAGCGGGATTCGAACCCACGATCTTCGGCTAGATACGCCGCTGCTCTACCACTCGGACATCAACTTCCTATCTCAACCCCACCTTATGAGTTTTCCCTCCTTTTTGCCATTTTTCAAGTGGTAGAGCAGCTGCGTATCTAGCCGAAGATCGTGGGTTCGAATCCCGCTCGTGCCATTAACTTTTTTTCATCTTAACTAAAAACCTTAATTAATTATAATATACAAATAGGAACTACAGGGTACTAAAAATGATGTAGCATTTCTCGAAATATTCTACTCGTTTATTTTTAAAACAAACGTTTCAGCTCATTTTTAATTTAGTCGGAACCATCTGTTGATCACGAGATTACCGGTTT